TTGTCTAATCCTTTCCTTACTTGACTTTTCTGTATCACTTGCCTCTACTTCTCACTCTTTTTCATCTGGAACATTTCTGTTAGTGTCTGTGACACCCTCCACTAGCTCTGTCCTTCCTTTGCTTGCTGTCTTTATGGATTCATCTTCTCTCTATTGTCCTTTTACATGGCAGATCCCTAGTTTCCATCCTTGGCCCCTTAATCTCTATTTTCCTATACTGATTTTATCCTTTTTCATTTTTTTAAAACAGCTCTATTGAGATTCACTTCATGTACTATGCCATTCACCCACTTAAAGTATAAAATTCAATGATTTTTTAAAAGTTTACTCACAAATATGTGCAAACATCACCACAGTCAATTTAGAGCATTTTCATCTCCTTGAAAGCAACTCTGTAAACTTAACTATACTGTCCCATTATCCCATTTCCCCCTCCCAAACTCCATGAAACTACTAAGCTACTTTCTATCTCTGTAGCTTTGCTGAACTACTTTCTATATTATTTCGTGTAGAGCAGTTTTGCTTTTGACATATTGTGCTTTGGTTTATTTCAGAAGGTTTTAATTTTTACATTTTTGCTGGACATAGTATTCTTAGTTACAACCTTTTTCTTCCAGCACTTTGAATATGTCATCGCACTGCCTCCTATCCTCCATGGTTTCTGATTAGCAATTAGCTGTTACTGAATTTGTACATAAGTTACTTTCTTGCTGCTTTCAAGATTGTCTGTCTTTTTGATAGTTTGATTATTATGTTTCCAGTTGTGGCTCTCTTACTTCAAGTTTATCCTACTTGGAGTTTGTTGACTTTCTTGGATGTATACATTAATGTTTTTCATCAAATTTGGAGACTTCTTGGCCATCATTTCTTTAAATAGTCTTTCAGTCTCTTTCTCCTCTCTGTCTCAGACTCCTATTATGCATATATTTAACTTAATGCTATCCCACGGTTATTTTCTATTGTTTTTTCTTTCTGTTTCTCATACTGCATACTTTTAACGGACATATTGAAATGGACATATAGTTTCTTCATTCTTTCACCTGCTCAAATCTGATGTTGGACTCCTCTAGTGAAAGTTTTGTGTCAGTTGACTTTTCAACTCTTGAGTCTCTATTTGGTTCCTTTTAATGTATATCTCTTTATTTAGTGAAATATTGTTCTTATACTTTCCTTTAGTCCTCGAGTTTGACTTCTTTGACCATATTTAAAATAGCTGATTTAAAGTCGTTGCCTAGAAAGTCCAATCTCTTCTTCCTCAGGAGCAATTTCTATTGATTACACTTTTTCCTGCATTCATGTCTTTCTTGTTTTTTTTTTTCCTTGTTCAGCATTTTGTTGTTGATAATTGGACATTTTAAATAAAATAACATGGCAACTTTAGAAATCAGGATTTCTCTTCTCTACAGTGGTCATTCTTGAAATTTATTTGTTCAGTGACTTTTCTGAACTAATTCCATAGAGCCTGTATTTCTTGTGATCTGTAACAGTTGAAGTCTTTTAAGAAATTTTCTTCAATGCCTGGAATCAGTAAGTCTCCCATCTTTTCTCGGTGCGTGTCAGGGCATTCTTTCAATGGTCAGTCAGACAGTTTACAAGTGTGTAGTAGCCTTTACTTCTTATGCCAAACTTCATGGTCACCTAGAGGTGACAGCTTAGGGCCTTCTAACATGTTTCCTGAGCATGGTCTCAGCCCTGGGCTTGTGCACAGCTCTATGCATGTATGTAGCCTTCTAGATTCTCACAAATATATCATAGCTTTTCAAAATCTTTATGAATATCCCATTCCCCAGCATTTCCTTTTAAGCTTCTTGATTATGCTATTGTTTGCTCCTGCTGTTATCCACCACTTCAGGTAGCTACTAAGTTAATAAATGCCTTTAAATGTTTTGACAAATACTTTTCCATACCATGTGAGCTCCAAGTTAGTTTAAATAAAAACATCTTTGTAAGTAGGATCTTTCAGAGAACCACCAAACAGGCTAAATAATCATAGTTTTCTGGGAATGAGGCTGTGATAGAACTCAAACCCAATTCTGTCCGTCTTGCTGACAGTGGACCATTGGTTCTCAAACTACAACAGAGTTTTTGAGAGAGTGATGGGAACAGGGTAAATTAAAAGGATACAGTATCACTGTTTTTACTGTGATTCAGCTGTTTTCTTGTATATTTCCACAGATTATTTGTTAACTTTTATAATTTTTCAATGTTTTTGTAGAGGAGAGAATTTTCTGGGATCCCTACTCCAACATTTTCTTTCTTTCTTTCTTTCTTTCTTTCTTTCTTTCTTTCTTTCTTTCTTTCTTTCTTTCTTTCTTTCTTTCTTTCTTTTCTCTTTCTTTCTTTTCATTAGTTTCAGGTGTACAAAACAATGAACTAGTTAGACATTTACACCACTCACAAAGTGATAACTCCCCTCCCCTAATCTGCTACTCGACCATAAAGAACAATGAAATCTTACCATTTGCAATGACATGGATGGACTTAGATCAGGGGTCAGCAAACTTGAGACCGAAGAGCCGCTAGGGGGTCAGCGAACTGTGGCTCGCGAACCGCAGGCTCTGAAGTAAAATTGAAAATGAAAATAAAGCTATCATAGTTTCATTTATAAAAATTTTCAAAGATATTATTCACATAATGGTTATTATGTAAAAATATATTTATGGCTCTCTAATAATTTTAAATTGTTGTGAGGGACAGGATTGGCTCTTCCAGGGGTTGGCAAACTTTTGAGACACACCAGACCCAAAGAGCTGCATGTAGCTCACGAGCCTCAGTTTGCCGACCCCTGACCTAGAGAATATTATGTTAAGTGAAATAAGTCAGAAGGAGAAAGACAAATACCATATGATCTTACTTATATGTGGAATCTAATAGAACAGAATAAATGAGCAAACTAAATAGAAATAGACTCAGAGATATAGAGAAAAAAATTCATGGTTACTAGATGGGAAGGAGTTGGGGATGGGGTGAAGGTAAAAGGATTAGAAAGTACAGAGTAGTAGTCACAGTATTGCCACAGGGATATGAAAGACAGTTGGGGAAATACAATCAATAATTTTATAAAGATTTTGTAGGGTGTCAGATGAGCACTTGTCTTATTAAGGGCACCACTTCATGGATGGTATAGATGCCTGACCACTGCACTGTACACCTGAAGCTGAATAATTTTGAATGTCAACAACATTTTCAGTTCCATCACTTGTCAGCATAATTTTTTTTAATCCAGCTGATTTTTATTAAACCAGATATTAAAGAGATTGGCAAAAATGAAAAAAGAACAATGCTACTTTTCTCACTAATTTTTTAGTTTTGCAAAATATAGTTAAATTTTCTATTTTTCAATCAAAATAAATTTAATCAGAGGTGTTCCTGTTCTTTTATTCATTTGTTTTAGTTCCCCGCTACTAGCACTGAGCTTCACACAGAGGAGATATTAATTCAGGAATACTGAAGACTTCAATGAAAGCATAATTGAATACATAACACCGGAAAATTACTTGTTTCTGTCCTCTTATCTCTCAACCTACTTTTTTATTTTTTTATTTTTAATTTTGATAAGAACACTTAACATGAGATCTATTCTCAACAATTTTTTTGCGTGTACAATTCAGTATTGTTAACTAGCTGCACAATGTTGTACAATAGATCTCTAGAAATTAATATTTTGTTCAAGTGAAACTTTATACCCCTTGAATGGCAACTTCACACTTCTCCCTTCTCCTAGTCTCTTTGAAGTCTTTTGTTGTGAAACTTTCCCTTTCTCAGTTTCTAAAACTCTACCCTCTCATGGTTCTGTTATTACTTTTTAGAAAAGTTCTTCTCTGGCTTTGTGACCTATGTGTTTTCTGCCAGCCTCTTGCATATTCACAGTCCCTGAAATTCTGTATTTGGTACTTTGCTTTCCTCAATCCCAGTGTGTTCAAGTTGTTGTCTGATGCCTCTGATAACTTCAGTTGCCACCCAAATTGCTCATAACTCCTTAATGCTTGTCTTCATCCTAGACCTTTCCTCTGTGTTCTACAACTATGTGTGTACTAGCTTAAGGGACAGCTCCAGCTTAGTGTTCCACAGACATTCAGTAGCAACATGACCAGATCTGTCTCACTAAAAATTCTAACAGTTTTTTCCTGTTGTGTCCCCAATATCAGTATTTGACGACAGCATTCAAGAAGCTGCTCATGTTTCTAGACTGGGTAGCTATATAAGAAAGTAGTTATCACATTGGTTGTTGCTTTTGCGCTGTGATTCCATCCCTACCCTTATATCCACTGCTATTACTTCAGTGTACACAGTTCTCTTATACAGGTCTCTGAATCCAACTCCTTGGTAAGTTGTGCTTTGCTCTTCATAAGCTCTAGATTTATATATCTTTTTACATGTATTTAGATAGAAGTTCAGTCATGTATGTTATCACCACAGCTTCCATGTAGTTCTTCCTTGGCTCCCATCATTTATTGTAGTGGAGTCCATGGAGGGATTGAATGTCCTAGAATTCTCTAGGACAGTCCATTGGGATGTGGAAGAAGAGTTGTAGGAAGTCTCCATATACTGAAATTTTCTTGTCCTAAAAAACTGCAGTTCATAAATACATATAAATTATGGTATATTAAAAGCATTTCTAACTAATTCAGTAACTCCAAAGTTCAAGACAAATTAGGTAAAAAAATAGACATCCTTTGTATTTATTTGTTTTAGAGCCTTAAGCATAAATAGGAAAATAGTAGTTCTCAACAGGTATTTCCTCTGTCACCTAATTCTGAACTTTTGAACAAAATGTGTTATCACAGGAATCAGTGTCCTTCAAGGATGTGACTGTGGAATTCACCCAGGAGGAGTGGCCATACCTGGGTCCTGCTCAGAGGGCCCTCTACAGAGATGTGATGCTGGAGACCTACAGCCACCTCGTCTCCGTGGGTGAGCAGACCTGACCACCTGACTCACTCTGGAATACAATTCTTTTTTTTTTTTTTAAATTATCTAAGCACATGCACACTTTGTGGATATTTATGTTATTCAGGCTTTTGATTAAGGGGCCTAGGTAACTGAATCCTTCAGAAAAATAGAAACTACGTTTGTAGTATTGCTTTTCCTTTGAAAACAGCAAATGGGTGCTTTCATTTTGCTGCTGCTGCTGTATCTTTCTCCACCTTCAGAAACTAGAAAGCCCGAGATCTGGTCTATGTACAATGGGTGCCAAAAAAATGTATACACATTTTAAGAAAGGAAAAAACTGTTAAAATTGTACTAATCAATTTATACCGATAACAAAAGATGAATACAAGTCACGTTTGACTTCTGTAATTGCAAGAGGTGCTCAAAGTGGTTACCATCATCATCCAGACACTTCTGATGACAGCGAACTACTGCTTGAGCAATGTTGACCAAAGTGTCTACTTGTATCACTGCACATACTGTTTCAATTTCTTCCCAAAATATTGCCAATGTAGCTGGTTTTCTATAGTACACCACATCCTTTAAGGTCCTCCATAGGTAGATGTCAAGGGGTGTTAAGTCAGGAGAATATGGGGGAAACTCAACCACACCTCTTCGTCCTATCCATTGTCCTGGCAAATTCTCATCAAGGTAAGCTCTCACATCTTGGTGGAAATGCAGTGAGGCAGCATCTTGTTGGAAGTAAAATTGATCATTCCCAAACACATCTTTTGAGCGAATGTCATACTACACATTGTTACCGTAATTCAATTCAATGTCGAAAAGTAATACATAGATAACATCTCTTAAAATGTGTATACATTTTTTTGGCTCCACCGGTATACCCTCAATTGTTAATGTTCACAGGGTATTGCATTACCAAACCCCAGGTGATTTTCAAGTTGGAGCAAGACGAAGAGCCTTGGTCCTTAGAGGAAGAATCCCTGAACCAGAGGTACCCAGGTGAGTGAGCACAGACCGAAGGAAACTCCAGGGGTAGTTAGACCTTAGAGGGAAGCACTTCTGAAAGTTGTTTTTCTTTTTAAACAGCTTTATTGAGATGTAATTCACATATCACACAGTTCACCCATTTAAGGTGTATATAGTTCACTGGTTTTTAACATAGTCATAGATATATGTAAACATCACCACAGTCAGTTTTCTTCACCTCAGAGAGAAACCCATACCCTTTAGCTATCACCTCCCTATCTCCTGTCCCTTCCAGCCCTAGCATCCATTGATCTTTTATCTCTAGATTTGGCTATTCTGGACATTTCATATGAATGGAATTCCATATTGTGTTTTCTTTTGTGATTGGTTTCTTTCACTTTGCATTACAAGGATGTCTTATAGGATGTAATAGTGCTTCACCTTTTTAATTTCAAAATAATATTTATTGTCTGGATATACCACATTTGTTTGTCCATCATTGGACCTTTGGAATTCTACCTTTTGGCTGTTATTGAGTAATGCTTATAGAATCATTCATTTACAAGCATTTGCATGGACATATGCTTTTGTTTCTCTTGAGTTCCTAGCAGGTGGAATTCCTGGGTTCTATGGTAAGTCTGTGGAACTGCCAGACTTTTTTCCACAGTGCTGTCCCATTTTACATTCCTAATGACAGTGTATGAAGGTTCTGATTTCCTCTGCATCTTCCCCAGCACTTACTAGCTGACGTTTTGATTGTAGCCATCCGAGTGCATGTGATGTGCTACATCATTGAGGTTTTGATTTGCATTTCTGTTAGTCAGCTGGGCTGGTATAACAAAATACTGTAAGTTTCGGTGACTTAAATAGCAGAAATTTATTCTCACAGTCCTTGGGGCTGAAAGTCCAAAGTCAAGGGGCCAGCATGGTTGATATCTGGTGAGGCCTTTTTCTGACTCACCATGTCCTCAGATGGCCTTTCCTCTGTGCACCCATGGAGAGAGAAAGAGCTCTGATGTCTCTTCCTATTTTTATAAGGACTCCGGTTCTACAGAGTTAGGGCCCCACCTTTATGACCTCATTTAACCTTAATCACCTCCCTAAAGGTCTTATCTCCTAATACAGTTACATTGGGGGCTAGGGATTCAAAATAAGAGTTTAGGGAAGACACAGTTTAGTCCATAACAATTTTCCTGATCACTGATGAGGGCATGCATCTTTTCATGTGCTTATTGGCCTTTGTGTAAACTAATAAACAATTCCAAGAATTTCGAAAGTTATAGTTTCAATATAATTTTTTGAGCACAAAAGTAAAATCATCTTAAGTAAGTGTTCTCACTGAAGGTTTTTGTTGTGAAGCCATTTAAACAGGGTTGTGAAGCCATTTAAACAGGGTAACAAAGATTAACATAATTTAGATCAAGCGTATTTTGCAGTCACTAAATAGAAATGATTGGATCATACTTATTGGCTAAAAAGGATATCCCCAAATAAGTATCTTAGGAAGATTGTAATAAAGGAATGGTAAAGTTATTAAGTCAATTAAAATAAAATTATTTAGGATTTAATATTCTATTACTCAGTTTTGAATTTTGGCATTATATTCGTTATATAATGGATATATCCATTATAAAATATCAAATGTCATTATATGTTATATAAAAGAAGGCCCTCTAATGCAATAGCACAGGTTAATGTAAACCCTTAAGCATTTGAAAAACTGCATCAAACAATATGATATCAATGATCATAAAACACAAAATAATGGATTTCTAAGAACTTAAAATTCACTTGGATTAGGAGATCCTAATATACAGTAAGTGTCTGTTAACATTGTCTATAGGTTCTTGAAAACTGACTTGAAGCGAACTGACCTATAATGAAACCACCTTTATCATAGGCTAATTGATATAAACAATAGTTATGTTCCTACAGCAAAAACATCACCAAACTTCTACATAAAGATCCAAAACACTGCTAACATTAAACATTCATTAAATGTGAGCTATCCATGCATTTCAGAAAGATGAATCATCATTTTCCAACCCGCTTATTTCAGTTCAGCATTGCAGGTTGCCAGAGCCTATCCTGGCAGTTCAGGGCTGAAGGAGGGAACCCACCCTGGACAGGATGCCGTTCCGTCATAGGGTGCATCACACACTCCCCACTCAGTCAGACTGGGGGCAATGCAGACATGCCATTTCATGTAACATGCACATCTTGGGTTATGAGAGGAAAACAGAGTACCTGGAGAAAACCCACGCAGAAGTGCCAGCTCTACACAGATTGTGGCCCTGGCTGGGAATTGATTTTTTTTTCTTATCAATGTTGTCATGAAAGGAAGTTATTTGAGGTCCAGCTGTACCTCATCTGATAAAATAAGAAATATTGTGGACATTAAATATGTCTATAGAGGAGATAAATGATACTTGTATTAAAGTGAAACATGTATTTGTATATGTGTATGCTGAAATCAAAGGACAAGCCTTGCAAATTCCCATGGAATAAAAAAATTGTGAAAATATAGTTTTAGTCTAAAAAGCAAATAATAAATCCAACAAATTAAAGTCATCACAAATAATATTCTCTCAACATACTTTGATAATTCTTGAAATTAATGATAAAATGAGTAAACAAATAAATTAGGGAATTTAAAAAAATTATCTCTTTTAAACAGTGTATAGCAAAGGAAATCAATTCCAAAATTGCATGACGTTTATAAAATAATAAAAATAAGTGTGCATATTAGAAACCTTAGGATGTAGCTAAATTAATGTACACAGGTAAATTTGTAGTCTCATGTTTACATTAATAAATAAAGCAAGAAGTATAACAGAAATGTACTAATGAAAGCAGAAGCATTTAAAAGTGAAATTAATAATAAACTTGAAAACTGAGAAATTGTAGAAAGTTTCTTAGAATAAAAAACAATAAAATGGATGAAACTTTAGCTAACCCTAACAAAGACAAAACGAAAGAAGAACTTTTATGTAAAAAATTCAAGTGGGGATATATATTTGTAAAGAGTTAATGAAATATCAAACTAAATCCCATTCATAAAATAGAGTGACCTTGTTCTACCAGATATCAAGAATTTATGTAAAGCGCTGAGTAGTTAAGTAATATGCAGCTGGGGGGTGGGATAGTTTAATAAATTAGTGAAAAAGAAAAGAAAGCTCAAGAAAAAACATGTGTTATAGACAATTGGTTTTTGACAGATGACACTATCCCCACAGAGCAGTGAGGAAAGAATTCTGAGGAAAACTTACAGATCAAAACAAAAAATTGGATTCAGGTGGTTTAATGACCTATTTTCATAGCAAAACTAGGAATATTCTACGATGGTAAGGAAAAAATGTTCATGCTTAGGGAAGAAGTTAATAAGATATAAAGAACTTCAACCAGGGAAAAGATGGAGTAAATATATTCCTTCCTACTTCACCCACTAAGTTCAGTTAAATATGGCCTTACACACACACACACACACACACACACACACACACACACACACACACATATGTATGTGTATACACACACACACGTGTATGTATATATATTACATGTGAGGTCTGAGAAGTTTGCAATGTTGTTGCAACAATGTTGCTAACTTCTTTTTGATATCAGAGGGATTATTCATTATGAGTTTATACCAACTGGACAAAGTTAACCAAGTTTACTCTTTGGAAGTGCTAAAAAGGCTACATGAAAAAGTTTTGTCAACAATTCATGGCTCTGGCATCACAACAATGCACCAGCTCACATGGTACTGTCTGTGAGGAAGTTTTTACCCAGTAAACAAATAACTGTATTGGAATACCCTCCCTATGTACTTGATCTGAAGATAAAGGAAATATTGAAAGGAAGACATTTTGATGACATTCAGGACATCAAGGGTAATATGATGACAGCTCTGATGGCCATTCCAGTAAGAGTTCCAAAATTACTTTGAAGGGTTGACTAGGCTCTGGTGTGGGTGCATAGAAGGGGAGTACTTTGAAGGTGACCATAGTGATATTCAGCAATGAGGTATGTAGCACTTTTTCTAGGATGAGTTCGCGAACTTAATTGCCTGACTTCGTGTAATACACACACACACACACACACACACACACACACACACACACACGTGTATGTGTATGTTTTGTAAGATTCTGAAAGATGGAGAGAAGAATAAAGATGAGCTGAGGACCTGATGAAACACTGGGTGCCAGTAGGAGGCTTGTGGGGGCCTGATTTCTCACCCCTGCCCAGTGTTAAAGTGGCAACTTTCTTCTCCAACTCCCAGGGTGTCAGTAGAGGTTTTGTGGGGAACTTGGACTTCTTTCCCCACTTGGCAGTAGTGAAGCTGCACCCCACTTCTCTTAGCGTGGTTTCAGAGGAGCCTGGCTGAAACTGAGCATTAACTTTGATAAAGTCCAAATCTTTAATTTTCTCTGAGAACCATGGTTTTGTTGTCCTGCCTAGAAACATCAAGCTCAAAGAAACACAGATTATTCCTTTGCTTTCTAGAAATTTTTAAATTTCACATTTTATACTTCGTGATCTACTGCATTTCTCCATGTAGGAGACACACCCTTTTAAAAAAAATTTGGGTTCTGAAAACTGGATGCGTCTTATACAGTGGTTGTAGATTTTTTTACTTGCATTTCCTGCAAGTGATGAGGAGTTGTATGAATTTTATGAAGAATAAAACTTGAGTTCAATGACTTTATATAATACATTTTTTTCAAATTTCGGGCCCCAAAATTAAGATGCGTCTTATACATGGGAGAGTCTTATACATGGGGAAATACGGTATTTGGTGTTAATTTTTATAGAAATTATGAGGTACATGTCAAGTTTAAATTTTCGAAGAGGGAATCCAGTATTCTAGCACCATATGTTGAAAAGATCATTTTTTCATTGAACAGCATTTGCATGATCTTAGAAAACAGATGGGTATATTTGCATATTTCTGCATATGTATATATTTCAGATATATTCTGTGTGTCTGAGATTGTATATTTCTGTGGCATTCTATTATTTTTTATTCACCTACATGTCCTTATGCCAATAGCACATTAACTATATTACACTAGCTTATAAATTCTTGAAATCAGGTAATGGGAGTCCACCAACTTTCTTCTGTATCAGTTTTAAAATGAGCTGCTTGATATTTATAAAAAAGCATGCTGGCCTTTCAGCTGGGATTCCATTGAATCTGTAGGTCAAATTAAAGAGAATTGACATCTTAATACTATATAGCCTTCCAATCCATAAATAACATACACTCTCCATTTATTTAGCATTTCTTTGATTTCTTTCATTATGATTTCTTTCATCACTGGTTTTCAGGATGGAGATACCTACCATTTTGTTTGTGTGTGTGTGTGCACACATGTGCATGCTATGGCAAATTATGTTTATCTGATTTCAAATTCCAACTGAACGTATTTGTATATTATTGGCTTTTGTATATTGGCTTTGAATTTTGCCTTTGCTGACAACACTTATTAGTGCAAGGAACTTTTTAAAAGATCTTTTTGTGACTTTTCTGTGTAGACTTACTCTGTGTCTTTCATTTTTATTCTTGCCATATTGCATTAGTTGAAACTTCCATCACAATCTTAAGTAGAAGTGCTGAGAGTAAACACTCTTGTCTTTTTCCCCTATCTTAGGACTAAGGCATTCAGTCTCTCATTTTTTTTTATTAAATTATTTTTTATTATGAAATACACATTTATTAGAATTAGTTTCAGCTGTCAGTCTCTCACTCTTAAGTATAATGTTAGCTATAGGCTTTTTGTAGATTCTTTTTATTAGGTTAATGAATGGATTTTGAATTTAGTGGAATTTTTTTATGTTAATTTATGATTGTGTGGTTTTAATTTTTTAGACTATTTATATATGAATTACATTGATTAACTTCTGAATATTGCAATAGTTTGCATTTCTGGGATGAATCCCACTTGATCCTGATTT